TTTTCTCGATTGGAACTATCAAATCAAGTGTTTGTAAACATAAAGTATTTTGCATATTACAATTTTACCAAATTTTGCCTCTTATAGAAAATAACAACAAATTTACAATTCTCTCCTTATTCAAAACTTTCCAATTTTTTCTTTTGTCCAATATAATCAATGTCCAATTTTGTCTTTCATCCAATTTAACTAATTTCCAATTTTGTCTCTTATCCAATATATAACCAATTTACAATTTTTCCTTTTATCCAATTTAACCAATTTTCAATTTTTCCTTTTATCCAATTTAACCAATTCCCACCTGTGTTTTTATCCAATATAACCAATTTCCAATTTTTCCTTTTATTCAATTTAACAAATTTTCAGCTTTGTTTTTATCCAATATAACCAATTTTCAATTTTGCCTTTTATCCAAATTAACGAATTTCCAGCTTTTTATCCAATATAACCAATTTCCAATTTTACCTTTTATCCAATTTAACCAATTTCCAGCTTTGTTTTTATCCTATTATACTTACTATTCACTAAGTCACTATTTACTGATTCACGAAGTATTCACTAATAATTCACTTATTTAACTTTATATTCAATCACATATAGTGAGTGAATTCACCAGTGAATTATAAAGATTTTTTAATTTAATTTTCGTTAAAGACACGTAGAACGTGTCCCAAGGAAATCAAACTACGATATGATTTTTAAATTAAAATTTCGCTGTCTCTGGTAACGGCTACCTTTCTTTCTTTCTCTAAGAGGAAATATAAATAAGAATGTCTCTCTTTACCTAATTTGCATATCTACTCGTTTCATAATAAGGATAATGTATTTTTCTTTGTACTATGTTACTATGTACTGTATGTTATATGTACCCATATTTTAAATTAAATGATTTACCTGTGTTGATCTTCCTTTTTGAATTTTATCAACGCATTTTCTTCTAGTGACTTCTTTTACTTCTAATTTTAGTTTTGATAAATTAATTTGCCGTATGAATGACATTGATTCCGGTGTACGCAAATTTTGCTGATTGGCACTTTTTAATGTCCTCGTCGTCTCTTTCTTTTCCATGTTACATGTATCTGATTTTACTGTGGAAATATGTATATCTCGTTTTCTTATTTCTTTCTGATCAATTGTTTTGAATAAGCTTCTTGTGACAAAATCCTTTGTCATTTCTAAATTCTCTTGATTAACAGTTTTTCCAGAAGAAATAGTATTATTTATCGTAAAAACTCAGTTGGAGTGCTAACGTATTTGTAAGAAGTTTTTATTAAATTAATTTGTTAGTTTGAGTTTAGTTTCGTCTTGTTAAAAATTTGATAATTACAGTTATAAATTATTTGTATTTCTTTTCCTTCTTTAAATACTCAAGTAAATGGCCAAAGAAAATGTATTGTTTCGTTGTAAATAATTGTAATAATTGTAAACTAGAAATGTGTGGGACGGGGTAGGGGATTGTGTGCTTGGAACTCAGGTTGGAGTTTTCTAGAGATTGTGAAAACAAGGAAAAGGTACCTTCTATTTTTTAAGCGTTGATTAAAACTTAAAATTGGAAGGCTCTGTGTTCAAAACTGTTATAAAAAGCAAAATTGAGCACAGAGTGGGGAGCAGGTACTCGGTAGACGAGTAGGCCATAAAGATAAGAAGGGTGAAAACAAAAGGATGGCCTGGGACTCGGTCGAGCTGTTCACTTACCAGTGGAGAAGGGACTCAGGCACAATAAAAATCCCCTCCTTTCGTCAATATACATATTTCTGGTTGAAAAACCTCAGTTTTCTTTTCGACGTTGTAATAAGTGGACATTTAAAATAAAACCAAAAGGCGTTCCTGTATACACGGAGAGAAAAATCAAGCGTTTGTAGTATGGACAGTTAAGCTTATTTCGTAAAAGAATGCACATGCGCAATATGCGTAAAACTTCTGCTGTATTTGTATAAATTTCTACGTTATCAGCATAAAAGTTCTACCTGTAACGCATGGGACGTCAGTATACTACGATTGCAAGAGATCCATGCTTTTTTAGTATATGTTTCATGCAACTGAGGTATAAAATCATGCCTCTTTAGCAGGACGTTCATACAAAATTAGCATAGGAAGTCTCCATACTACAAACGCTTGATTTTTCTCTCCGTGTATCTATGTGTTTTCTTGTCATTTATTTAATGCACCCTTCCTTGTAGTCAACGAAATTTAAGAATTTAACAAAAAAAATTGGTGCCGAAACCCGGGAATAATTTCGGGATTGATCAGTAGTGAAAGTGTGTTAATACATGCAGACAAGAAGCAAGAAAATTTACGGCAACGCAATGTCACAGAGGAATTCGGCTGCTGCTCATGACAGTGGTGCTCGGGCACCAACCTCCAAAAGGTCACGAAGAGTCGCTAACCAGGAAATCGAGGATAGGGGCTTGGAGCAACAATCAGGTTCTTCATTGGTAACACGATCTTGCATAAATGGATCAATGCGAAGAGGGGTAAGTGGTACTAATAATGATGGTATTTCTCATTCTCTACCACCTTCTAGACTGTCACAAATGTCATCTCGTAAAAGAAGGTTAGAATTGGCAGCTGCGGAAAACATGGCTGCCGTTAAACGTAGAGCTTTAGAAGAACGCGAGCGCGTAGATTTAGAGTTAATTGAAAGACGTTTAGCCTTTGAGTTAGAAGAAGAGAACTTGTTAAGCGCAGGGAGTAGGGAGGGCTCAGTTGAAGAATCTTTTAATCCCGATTTTGAAACGTCTAATAGAACCAGAGACTGGTTGCGTGATATGCCTACTGATATGTCCGTCGCGGATCGTTCTCTTAGTATCGCTTTAGTTCAGGAAACATCACATGACAATGTTATGACCAAGAACCTTGTAAATAGATTATCTTCAAATAAAAATTTGCCTGATTTTAGTGGTGATAGTTTAGATTGGTTAAGATTTAAAAATGCCTTTGAGTTGTCCACGCGCTTAGGGGGATATTCTGATAGTGAGAACATTGCACGTTTACATCAATGTCTTAAAGGGGAGGCTAGAGAGGCTGTAAGTTCTTTATTAATAACAGCAAACAACGCCAATCAAATCATAGAGACACTGCAACTTAGGTTTGGTAACCCGGACCTCATCTTAGATGAAGTCATGCGAGAAATAAAAGCGCTACCCAAATTTAGTTCAAATAAACCAGATTTACTCACACTTGCTACTAAAGTCAGGAACGGTGTTGCTGCGATGTTAGCTTTGAAGCACCAAGGCTATCTTCATAGTCCCGAATTGGTGAGAGAAATCCTTTCTAAAATTCCGTCGGCAATGATTTATCATTACAATAGATATGTTTCCTACAGACCAGTTGAAGAACCTCGATTAGTTACCTTATCCGAGTTTTTATACTCAGAAGCAGAGTTGGCCTGTAAAGCAGGAACCACCCGATTGCAATTTTCATCCATTCATTCTAATAACCGTAATACAAATCAGGTTAGAAACTCGCGAGCGGTATTAAATATAACAGAAGAGTTACCTGAAGAGGTAAATAAAGAAAAAAATAAATGCATGCTCTGCGACTCCCACGAACACCCTATCTGCGAGTGCGATGAATTTAAATTAAAGTCTGTTAAGGAGCGCTGGGATTGGTTACGCGGCAAAGGTCTTTGTTTTCGATGTTTAAAAAAAGGGCACTTGCGAATTAATTGCAAATCAAAAAAATGTGGCAAAAACGGATGTAAGAAGATGCATCATGCATTGCTACATGAATCTACATCTCAAAATTCAGCATGACAATTAAAACACATTGAATCACCACTTGTCTCAAACCCTGCTTCTGAAGTTGTAATTAATATTAATTCGCAGAGTGAGTTAAGAAATAATAATAAAACGATGCTAAAAATAATTCCAGTTACTATTCGAGGGACTTTAAGAAAAGAAGTAGTTGTAAATGTGTTGTTAGATGAAGGCTCTACGCTGTCGTTAATAGAATCGACGTTAGCTGATGAAATCGGTTCATTAGGAGAAAGGTCGATATTACACTTTAATGGGGTTTGTAACATTCGATCGACGCAGTACGATAGTAAACGGATAGATCTAGAAATACGAGGTCAGTTGATTGTATCAAGAGAAATACGTCATGCAGGTCGAAATTCTCTAGTTGCTTCGAATACAGCGTTAGGATGGGTGATACATGGCAAAATTGATGTAATACAAAGGAACCTTTCAATTAATCATTTATCAATATTATTAAATACTAACGACGAAGCGAGAGAAATTGAAGACAGTACATTATGCGAATTAGTCAGATCGTCGTTTTTGTTAGAATCAATTGGAATTGCTCGAACAGAGAGGACTAACCGTGTAAATGAAAGGGCAATAAAATTATTAAACGAGTATACGCAAAAAACATCTAAGGGATGGGAAACTGGTTTATTACGAAAAGAGAACGCAGCTACTCTCCCTGACAATAAAACATACGCATTGAAACGGTTAAAAAATATAGAAAATAGGCTAGATAAAGATTCCGAGTTTGCTGAGCATTATTACAGGGAAATGGAAAAATTGTTACTCGAGGGTACGCGGTAAAGGATGACAATTCATGCGATCGACCAGGAAAAGTATGGTATCTTCCACACTTCGGTGCAATTAACCCACATAAGCCAGGAAAAGTTAGACCTGTGTTTGACTGTTCTGCAAAAGTACAAGGAATTTCTTTAAATGATACATTATTATCAGAGCCCGACCTCCTAAAATCAATCCTTGGGGTATTGCTTCGATTCCGCGAAAAACCTATAGCAATTAAAGGGGATATAAAGGAAATGTTTTTGAGAGTTAAATTACGAGAAAAGGACCAGTGTTCGCAGAAATTTCTATGGCGAGGTAAAGATAGGAGTAAAGAACCAGAAACTTATCGTATGACCACACTCGTGTTCGGTTCGAAATCGCCACCTTGCTCGGCTCTTTACACGAAAGACACGAATGCAAACCAATTTCAATCCCTAATGCCACGTTGCAGCTATAAAAAATAAAACATACATGGACGACTTTTTAGACTGCGTTGATTCTGAGATCGAAGCATTAGAGTTAATTAAGCAAGTAACGGAAATAAATAGTCAGGCAGGTTTCGAAATGCACCAATGGGCAAGTAACAGTCCTGAAGTAATGAAAAATATCGCCCCTGAGAAAAGAGCCGAAGGTCCCATAAATTTTACAGTAAAAAATTCTCTCGAATGCTACGAGAAGGCATTAGGTATATTATGGAATCCTCGAAGTGACGTGTTTCGATTTAATATAACGTTTACTACTAACACCGCGAAACTTTTAAATAAGAAAGATGTAACGAAGAGAGAATTATTGAGAGTTATAATGTCGGTTTTTGACCCACTCGGTTTCCTATCTCCTATTACTATCAGAGGTAGAATGCTCTTGCAAGACGTTTGGCGGAGCAGAATCGCTTGGGATCAAGAACTACAGGAGTCCGAAGCACGAAATTGGCAAAATTGGTTGTCTAGTATAAGTACTGTTAAGGGGAGCGAAATTTCAAGGTGTTATTCTTATCGCACAGAAAAAGTAGTTCGGAGAGAATTGCACACGTTCTGTGACGCGAGTAAGTTAGCTTACGCTGCAGTAGCGTACTTAAGAGTGACATATGACAATGGATCCGTAGATCTAGCTTTCGTTGCTAGCAAGAGCAGAGTAACCCCGATGAAACCTCAATCTATACCAAGGTTAGAATTACAAGCCGGAGTCATAGGTTGTCGATTAGCAGAAACAATTAAAAAAGAACTCGAACTACAAATAAATGAACAATACTTCTGGACGGATTCCAGAACTGTTCTTCAGTGGATACAAAATGATCCACGAACATATCCGCCGTATGTATCCCATCGTCTGGGAGAAATAGATGAGCTTTCCAATATCCAAGAGTGGCGCTGGGTCCCATCAAAGGAAAACCCAGCGGATATTGCGACAAGAGATACAAACTTTACACCATCGAGTATGTCGCATTGGTTTCAAGGACCAGCTTTTTTAGAAAAAGGAAAGGAAAATTGGCCTGAAAGTGTCATTAAGCAAAATTTTGTAATTTTAAACGTAAAAATTCCTAACTTTGGTACTCCCGACATTAATCGATTTTCATCATGGTTACGTCTAATACGAACAACCATGAAAGTATTACAATTTGTACAACTATGTAAAGGGAATGTCATTTCTAAGAAACAATTGTTTGATAAAGCAGAAAGACAATGGATACTTCAAACACAGCAGGAGTCATTCGGCGCGGAACTTGAATCGTTAAAAAGGGGGGAAAATATCGACAAGGGTAGTAAACTGTTATGTTTATGTCCGAAATTAGACCAGGATGGACTATTAAGAGTAGATGGTAGGATCAACGCAGCGAGAAACGTATCAAAAAAAATGAAGAACCCAATAATTTTAGACGGTAAACACCCTTATTCCAGGTTACTTATCGATTACTTTCATAAAAAATTTCACCACGGTAATCAAATGACGGTTATAAACGAAGTAAGGCAAAAATTTTGGATTACTAAACTACGATCTACTGTACGTGCAGTGGTGGATCATTGTCTGTACTGCCGACTGCGACGAGCTAAACCGAAAGTACCTCGAATGGGAGAGTTACCAACAGCGAGAGTATCTCACCACGTTTGGCCATTCACCTATTGCGGAATAGATTATTTTGGCCCAATGCAGGTTAAAAAAGGGAGACGTCGCGAAAAACGTTGGGGGGTATTATTCACGTGCTTATCGACTAGAGCAGTGCATCTTGAATTAGCTGCATCCCTAAGCGCAGATTCAACGATTCTAGCTATCCGCAGATTATCAGCGCGTAGAGGCCAACCTCTTGAACTCTATTCTGATCAGGGGACCAATTTTAAAGGAGCAGATAGAGAATTGCGCAATGCTATTTCTGAAATTGATGTAGAAAAACAACGTGAATATGCTGCAGCTAACTCCATCACTTGGAAATTTAACCCCCCGGCAGCACCACACATGGGTGGTAGCTGGGAGAGGTTAGTGCGGTCTATTAAAACCTCGCTAAAAGTAATACTTAAAGAACAAGCTCCAACAGAAGAAGTGTTACTAACCCTCATGACAGAAGCAGAGTATGTCGTGAATTGTCGCCCTCTCACGGAAATTTCCATGGACCCAAAAGATCCGGAAGCATTGACGCCCAATCATTTTTTGATCGGCTCATCATCCAGAATCCCTGACGTGAATAAATATGGAATAATACAGAAGTGTTCGCGAAAACAGTGGAAAATAGCTCAACATTTGAGTGAAGAATACTGGAAGAGATGGATAAGGGAGTATCTTCCTACAATGATCTCAAGAAAAAAGTGGCAAGAAGACTCACATCCGATAAAGACCGGTGAAGTTGTAGTTATAACCGACAGACGCTTCCCAAGGAATACTTGGTTGAAAGAGATCGTAGAACAAACATATCCTGGGTTGGACAAACGTGTACGAGTTGCTAAAATAAGAACAAGTAGAGGATCACTTATGACGAGTAGGCCATAAAGATAAGAAGGGTGAAAACAAAAGGATGGCTTGGGACTCGGTCGAGCTGTTCACTTACCAGTGGAGAAGGGACTCAGGCACAATAAAAATCCCCTCCTTTCGTCAATATACATATTTCTGGTTGAAAAATCTCAGTTTTCTTTTCGACGTTGTAATAAGTGGACATTTAAAATAAAACCAAAAGGCGTTCCTGTATATCTATGTGTTTTCTTGTCATTTATTTAATGCACCCTTCCTTGTAGTCAACGAAATTTAAGAATTTAACAGTATTCATTTAAAGTTTGGTCACTAAATTCTTCTTCTTTTCTTTCTTCTTGTTCATTTCCTTCTTCATTTTTCATACCTAATTGGTTGGTTATTTAATTTGTCTTCTTCCTTTATCTTCATTGTAAAGTTGATTCTTCTCAGATCAGGATTTTGTAAAGTGTCTTCCTTATTTTCTTCACCATCTTCAAACATTTCATTGTCCCAAAATTCTATCATTTCCTTTTCTGGCAGTTCTTCACTGATGCAGATATCTTCCTCGTCATTGGAACTATTTATAATAGGATTCATGTACTCCACTATTTGTTTTTCTTCCAAAGGCTTTTCTTTACTGTGAATGGATTTTTTGTCGCTGGATTCTTCACTTTCAATTGTAGGTTGTAGTTCATTTATAGAAGGTAAGTAGAGTGGCTCAGCAATGGTTCACGAATATGATAGGTTAAGGGGCGTGGCTTATTTATAGTTGACGAAGCTGAATGGTTAAAGGCGTGGCTTATTTATAGTTCACGAATCTGATTGGTCGAGAGGGTGGGGCTAAGGGCGAGGATGGGCGTATGTGTAGGAATACTTCAGGGTAGTGATTGGTTGAATTATGGTTAATGGATCTGATTGGTAGATAGAGTGTGACTAAGCGGAAGGGATCAAACGCCCTAGCAGGAATAGTTCAGAGCTGTGATTGGTTGGTTTATGGTTCATGGATCTGATTAAAAGTGTACATGGGTCTAAATTGAATGGGGGTAGTTTTAATAGTGAATAATGGGAAATTGACGAAAAAATCAGAAAAGGAACTGTGGAAGGTTTATTTGAATAGGTAAGTAGGTTAACGAAATAAAATACGTAAATTTCAAAAAGGTAGGTTTATCGTACGACTGATTAAATCTATATTACATATTAACCCCTTGATTGTACATGACGTGTATACACGTCATAAAAAAACTGGCCCAAACAGTAGATGACGTGTATGCACGTCATGGACCAAACAAGAAAGCATCTTAACGTTTATTGGTAAAAATTCTTACTCAAGGGTTTTTGGGGTCGCTGATCACGATTCTAAAGTCATATTTTCAAAATACATAATTTTTCATACAAAATGGCCGCCAAAAATTTTGAAAAATTTCAAAAGTGAATAAATTCTTTTAAAAATTCTTATTCAGGGGTTTTTGGGGTCGCTGATCACGATTCTGAAGTCATATTTTCAAAATACATAATTTTTCATCCAAAATAGCCGCCAAAATTTTTTAAAAATTTCAAAAGTGGATAAATTCTTTTAAAAATTCTTACTCGGGGGTTTTTGGGGTCCCTGATCACGATTTAGAAGTCATATTTTCAAAGTATATAATTTTTTATCCAAAATGTCCGCTGAATTTTTTGAAAAATTTCAAAAATGAATATTTATTCACTTTTGTGGTTTTTGGTGTTTACATTTTGGGACCATTTTGTTATATTTTAGCTACACACTGAAGGGGTTAGGAGAAGAAAATTATATAGTGTATTTTATGAATTATGTGTAATATATGATGTTGTACATGTTTGAATACAAATATGTGTATGTGAGTGTAATGTAGAAGTATGGTTACAATTATTTTTAATTTTTAATGTTTTTTGAAAATTAAAAGCTATATAATCATTTTTTAATAAATTATTTGAAAAAGGTAAGTTAAAGTCGAGAAGAGAATAGTTAAAAGACATATAATAAAGAAACATAATACAAAATTGGCCACAAACAGTCGAAGAGGTACTTTGATATTGTGTTGTGTTCCATCTGAAAAAGCGCAGTTTCTTCGTCAACAATCCATATGTTGAGGAACTAAAGGTGGTAGACCATAGCTGTAGAATTACGTTCCTCGGCCGTCATTGCTGATGTGTATAGCGACCCAGTAGGTACTAGGTTTAGTGTGGTCATCGGTATTAACAACAATGCAGACGGTCTTGTCAAAAAATAAGGTATTTTATCAGCAGGATAAACTCCAACGGAATGGTTGTTTATGAGTCGTAGACACTGTAGTATTTGTAGACTGTTCATTCTTTGGTGTATCAATATCCTCGTAATTGGCGTAAGTAGGAGTTACAGTAGTTGTAGTCGACACTGGTAAGATTTGAAATGAGGTTTCTTGACTATTTTTTACAACCTCTGGAACATAAGGAAGAGGTGGTGTTGAGGATACTTCGTTGATAATTTTTAATTTTTTAGAACTGTGATTACAAATAGCTCGATCTTTTCTGTATTTTTCAATCCAGCGTTTAAGCTTAGTAGCGTTATTAAGAGCACAAATAAAATATTCTTCTTTCTTTACACCGTGGTGAAAACAGTAGGCACAACTATTTGGTAGTTCCTTGAAGGAAGGACAAGATAAATTTTCGACATTAATAACTTGTCTACTTATAATTTGTTGTAAAACTTTAATTTTGTCTCGGCCTTTTTTTGGTGTCTTAGACACGAAAAACGTCTCAAACCAAGACACTTTTGGTGTCTGAGACATCAAAAATGTCTCCGATCAAGACACCTCTTTTTGCAGTGTAGGTCACAAAATATATAAGTTGCAAATACATACTTCTCTTAAAAAAATTGTTTGATTTTAATAAAAATTGGTATCTCAAGGGTTTTTAAGGTTGTTGATTAAGAATCTAAAGCCAGATTAAAAAAATCAAAAATGGCGGATCCAATATAGCGGATGAGTTTTTCAAAAATTCATTCAAATTTCTTGAAAATTTATAATCGGAGGTTTTTGAGGTCGCTAATTACGAATCTAAGGTCAGATTTAAAAAATTCAAAATGGCGGATCCAATATGGCGGATGAATTTTAAATAAATTGATTGATTTTAATGAAACTTGGTATCTAGAGGTTTTCGTGGTCGCTGATTACAAATCTGAGGTCATATTTTCAATACTTAAAATTGCGGATCCAAAATAACGGACGAATTTTTAAATAATTGTTTGATTTTAATTAGAAATATAACATCAAAGAACATGCAGTTTTTTTGTAATTTTGCAATTAATTTATCTGAGCAATAAAAGGATATTTTTTAAATTTAGCAATTCTTTAATTGTTTAAACAAATAATTGTTGTTATGTACTAACTTTTTACAAAAAATATCTAGAAACATGCAGTTTTTTTCTAATTTTGCAATTAACTAAGCTAAGTAATATTACATGAAAATTTTTTATGAATTTAATGATTCTTTAATTGTTTAAACAAATAATGTTGTTATTTACTAACTTTTTACAAAAACATCTTGAAACATGCAATTTTTTTCTAATTTTACAATTAACTAAGCTGAGTAATATTACATGTAGATTCTTCATAAATTGAACGATTCTTTAAATGTTTAAACAAATAAGGGGTCGTTCACAAACTACGTCACGCTTTTTCGGACTGATTATTACCCCCTCCCCCCTTCGTTACATTTTTTACATACAAAAAAAATTTTCTACACTTTGTCACACACAGCTTAACACCCCCCCCCCACCCTAGGAGTGTGACGTAGTTTATGAACGACCCCTAATGTTATTTACTAACTTTTTACAAAAACATCTAGAATTATGCATCTTTTTCTAATTTTGCAATTAACTAAGCTGAATAATATACCTCGAATTTTGCAATTAACAAACATAAATCTTACAATAATACACAATGGGAAATTAACCATTAGCGCAATAATGGTCCTATTTTGGGAGCCAGCAGTACCAATGATGGTGCAATAATAGCAACCAATATTGGGTCACTATTGCCAGAGTCTTAGGAAGATCACGAGTTTGTCAAGCATTGGCAGCCAATATTGGATCACTATTGGCTGCCAAGGCAAATGCCAGACTTTTTAAGCCTTGGATATTCATTGGAAACAAAGATTGGACCAATATTAATGACCAATTAATTACCAATGCTTTAAAATTAAATTAATGCTTGGTTATTTCTTAGTTACCAATACTTAACCAACGTTTGAAATCAATATTTTATAAATACTAACATAATAGCAAAAATTTTTCAAAAAAAAATTAAATTACTAATCTAAGGAAAGAAAAATAATTAATTTAATTAGAACACTCTGTTAAAAACAGAATGTGATAAAAATCAGACAATGATAATATTTGTCTAAGTTTAAGAATGCAAGCGTCTCTTCTTATATAGAACTGTCGAAACAACTTGCTAATGAGAGGAAGAAACTTTGGCGCACCCTGGTGGCACTTATCCAAAGTAATTTCGAGCATATACTTTGAAGCAGCGCGGGACATTTCAAAATCGAACACCAGGGTGCGCCAGAGCTTCTTTCACTCACTAGCAAGTTGTGTTACCTGTTCTATATAAGAAGAGACGCTTGCATTCTTAAACTTAGACAAATATTGTCTTCGTCTGATTTTTATCACATTCTGTTTTTAACAGAGTGTTCTAATTAAATTAATTATTTTTCCTTCTCTGGATTAGTAATTCAATTTTTTTTCTTTGACAAATTTTTGCTATGTGTTGGTATTTGTAAAATATTGATTTCAAACGTTGGTTCAATATTGGTAACCAAGGAATAACCAAGCATTAATTTAATTTTAAAGCATTAGTAAATAATAATTGGTCATTAATATTGGTTCAATATTTGTTGCCAATGAATAACGAAGGCTTGGAAAGTCCGGCATTTGCCTTGGCAGCCAATAGTGACCAATATTGGCTGCCAATGCTTGGCACAGTCGTGATCATCCCAAGACTCTAGCAATAATAGCTCAATATTAGTTGCCAATGTTTGACCAA